CAGTCCTACAGTACCAGATAGAACGCGAACGCGAATACAATAACCACATCACACAAACAATCCGCAAGAACGAGCAACCGCAGCCCTACAAGTCTGAAGTTCCTCCTCGCGCCGCCCTATGCCGGCCGCTCGACGATCCACTGCGCATACCCGACCCTCATAAAGTAATCCCTCAAGCTCTCCTTGGCCTCCAGACTCGTATCCCTTGCGAGCAGATCCGCAGCGACGGGGTAGATGGCCGGCAAGTACCGGTTATACGCCCGGTCGTCGAACCGCACGAAGCCCTGCACGATCTCCGCCACAACGGGCGTCCACGTCGCGATATTTTCGCCTGCGCGTCCGAGCGCAACAAGTTATAATCTCGCAGTACCCTCAGCCCGAGCGGGAGTGATCGCTCGGCGACCTGCGGTCGTGCGGCCTGATCTTCCGCTCGTGGGTCGAAGTACATGCGCGATAGAACATGCACGAGCGTAGCAGCGGACGACGACTCCTGCTTGAGCAAGTTCGGCAGATGTTTCATGAATCCCACGCGCCACAGCTTGGTCCGTAAGTCCTTGTCGCCGTTGAACATCCGCGCGAACTGGTACGAATGGTCGAGGACCTGCATGAACTGCAGCAGGTTCTGCAGCGGGATCGTCGAGTAGACGCCTTCGTTCCATAGGAGCTCGTTCGTCCTTTCGATGAGCAGAAGCTGGAGGGCGCATTTGACGATGAGATGCTTGAAGATGCGTCGTCGCTCGTGGAGGCTCGGCTTGCCCGTTGCCGGCGCGCCCTCTTGTGAAGGCGAGAGCGGTGCGGGGAGGATGGTCGAGTCGTTGCCCTGGGATGAGTCTTGAGGTTCGGGTGATGTGCTGTTGATATCCACGCGCAAGCTGTCGTCGAAAAGTTGGTGCGGTGTTGTTGTTTCGAACAACTTGACAAACGTCGACGCGACGCGGTCCCATCGTGCCGCACTGAACTTCTTCACGTTGCTTTCGAGCAGTTGCTGCAGACATGACGTGCCTATCCGCGCGAGCGTGTCGTTCTCTGCAATGTCTTCATCAGTACAATGGTGCTTTGATCGCAACACAACTGCGTACCTTGACAAATGCACACGCATAATAGGTCCAGCAATCCATCCAAGAATCGCTCCAAGATCTCAAAATAGAACGTATGAAGATCGATCAAATCCCTCAACGCCTGTATCATCGTCGTGCTCAACCACACGCTCATATCCTCCTGCGTGCTAAACCGGCTCAAGTCCTGACTGCTCTTCAACACCGCAAAGGTCGGGAACAGCAGCTCCTGCGTGACCGTGTCCCAGAACTCGACCGGGAACACCACGCCGTAGCGCTTGAGCGTGCTGAACAGGCTGTCGAGCGCCAGCCGGAGAACCTCCCCGTTTATGATCACGTCGTAGAAGCTGAACAGCACCGGGTACCAGAAGCGGATCATCAGGTCGTCCCCGCCCGTACCCGCCGCAGTCCCGCCCGTCGGCGCGAGCCCGCACTCGGGCGTCGCGAGCAGAATCGGGATCGTGCCCCTCAGCATCGCGATCGCCAACAGGCTGATCTTCTGGTACTTCGCCACCTTGCAAAAGTCCGTGACGCACACCGTCAGGTCCGCGAACGCGCGGTAGCGCACGATGGCCGTGAAGTGCTCCTTGTGCAACCTTGTGACGATCTCAAACGCCGGGCCCGTGATGCGCTTGGTCGGCACGCGCGCCTGGGCCATCTGCTGCAGGCACTGCAGAACCATGTCGCGGATCTCCGGGTTCGAGTTGTGGTTCATCGTGAACTCGAACGGCTTGAGGAAGTCCTTCTGGAACTTGAAGTGCGGGAGCTCTTCTTTCTCTAGGGAGCGTATCGCGACCTGGCGGGGCGAGTCGAGGGCGAAGAAGCCGACGTGCGGGTTACTGTGGCAGCAGACCTGGCGCGCATAACTGATCAGTACATATACCTCCGCTCCAGCCATACAAAACGCACCTAGTTGAAATGCTCCCCAAGTATAACCCACAAATTCGACCACTCCAACCTAATCCTCCCCATATTGTAGTACGACATCTCGACGAGCTTCTGCAAGCTAAACAGCCGCGGATGCTGGCTCAACCCGCTGCTCTGGTTCTCCTCCCACGACACGTCGCACAACGCCTGCACGAAGTCCACGATCGCCGTGCTCGACAGATGATGGCTTAGCGAAACACCATATCCGCGGCAATAGTGATATGCGTGCTGCGGCTTTCGTGCGCGAGCGCCTCGTTCGGCAGCGCCTTCGTGAGGCCGCCTTCACGCGCGTCGGGCATATTGACGCCGCTCGTGATAAGCTGCATATGCTCGAGCGAGCTCACACAGCTCGGCACCTCATGCCATGACCCCTTCAGATTATTCCCCTCGCTCACGGCCACATCGAGCAGCGCCTTGGTCGCCTCCATATTCTTGCCTTTTATCTCGACCAGATTGTTCAGAACGTGAAGTTGGCGAGCGTCGTAACGATCGGTATCGCTCGAGCTCCATGTCGAAGAAAGACGCGATCCCGATCGCGCACTTGAACCCCTCCAAACAGAGCTCGACGACGTCCAGCGCGTCCGTCTCGTGCAAGGGCCCGGAGAGCGCGACGAGCAGGCTAAGCCACACGGCCTCGACCATGGGCCGAACGTGCACGAAGTGGCTCGCGGGGTAAAAGACCTCGTCCGCCGACCGTCGAGCCCGCGCGGCACTGGGCACGGACCATAGTTTTGGACAGCGCCTCGGTCTTGTTCGCCATGGAGCTTGACTGGAAAGTGTACGTCTCGCGCTGCAGTTCGCGGCCGACGGTCGCGAGGGTGCCGGTGAGCCCGCCGGGCGCGGCGGCCACGGCCGCGCTGGGGTCTTCATGATGGACGCCTCGAGCTCGCCCTTCATCCTGATCTCGTTCGTCATGATCTCGTCGTAAATCTTGTTCAGCATGTCGACGGGCAGGTCGGCGTTGTCGTTGATCCCGCGGTTATTCCGGATGAGCTCGTTTTTGTCATGCGTTTTTTTGATCTGCGGGTTGTGCGCGTCCGTGTTGAGGAGGATTACCGAGTACGAGAGGACGTGGGCGGCATCTGCGCGTAGACAGCTCAATCAGTATCGACGCTCCTGGATTCCAAGAGCACACTACTCACCGGCGTTGGCAGACGGCGTTTTTGAATCACTCTCGATATACCGCTCCGCAAACTTCAGCATAAACCTATCGATCTTCTGCGCCTCGCCCGGCAGTCGGAAAGCCTGCAAAGCTGAATTTTCTGAGGCCCTCCGCCAGCGTCGTCTTCTTCTGCTTCGCGCTCTCGAACCGGCTCAGGTCGTCGTCCATATTGGCGTTGAGATCGGGTGTAGAGGTGCAATGTCGTCCTCGGTCGGGTGTGGACGTGCCGTTGAGTCTGTCCGTCGACGTGCTCGCCGCGAAGCGCGCCGCCGCCGCGCTCGCGCTCTGCCTCGGCCTTCTCGCGCTCTTTAGGCGCCGTGATGCCCCACGTGACGAGCGATATGAGAACAGCGACGAGCGTCTCGAGCGCCTGGTGCCGCAGCTGCGCCTCTGTCGTCGCGCCGCTGCCGGGCACCTCGGGCAGGCCGAGCGCGGTGGTGGTCAATGAGGGCGGGAGCTGCGATTTGGATGTGGGCGAGGATTGAGGAGCGGAGAGGGGGGTTGGGTGTCTTTGAATTTGGAATCGGATGTGGAGGAGGCGCCGACGGAGCCGGAGAGTTTGGTTATGATGTTCATCAGGCTGTATTGGATGATCGCTTGTCAGTACGGTGTGGAGGGTGGAGACGTGGAGTATCGGACTGCTCGTAGAGGTTGTTCCGGCGTGTTCGAGTCAGAGTCGTAGTTGATGTACAGATCCACGATGACCTGCGGGTCCGCGCACAGGCGGCGGACCATACCGAGTAGGATGACTTTCTGTCGTACGTCGCCGTGCGGAGCTCAAGTGCGGGTAGGAAGATCTCGTGGAAGGGCACGCCGATCTCTTGCTAGACCGCTGTGTCAAAACGAGTAGAGAACGGCGACTGTGATGAAAATGGGCACCCTGAGTTTTGTCCGCAGACTCTGCACCGTCTGGCAGAAGATCTCGTTGTTGAGCTCGAACACCTGTGGCACCGGGCTCGTCATGTTCCTAATCGAACAGCTAATGTCAGTATGTTATTACACGGCGTCATACAGGAAAGCGAGAGAGAGCACGTACCGGCTGAGCGTCGGACACAAGTACTGGCTCGTCATATCGATAAAGCTCACCAGCGCATGTCTGCTCCCGCTCCCGCTCCACACGACCGCGTCGGGCACGATGAAGACGTGCATGTGTTGTTGCCTGTCCTACTAATCAGTCCTGTACAGTGGTGGAAGGGGAACTTGAACGCACAGGATAGTCAGCACCATATGCAGACTCAACAACTTCGTCCTTGTCGCGTGGTTCCGCAGATCGCGCTCGGCCTCCGCCGTGAGCGGCTTCATCGTGAGCTTGCTGTTACGGACTAGCCCCTTTCACACGCTCTACTGGCTACATACGTGACTGTGACTGATGCACTATATTC